CAGTATTTATATCGTTTTTTACCTCTGATTTTCACCACAATGTCTGATCTGTTCGAACTGTCCTGAGCACATTCGCATCTTCTTCTTCAGCCTGCGTGTGAGGCGCCGCCTTCTTCTTCTTGCTTTATGGTGGATCGCAGACTTATAAGTGCATTACCGCCACCTATCTCTCAAATGGACCATTGACACTCTATCTACAATCTCAATTAGGAGTGTCAAAAGCAAGAAGAAGAAGAAGACGCGTCACGCGCAGGCTGAAGAAGACGTGAATGCGCTCAGGACAGTTCAGACATTGCGGTGAAAATCAGTATAACTATATAAATACTGTTCAGTTTCTTGCACAGACCGATCGTTTCGTGTCTTTACACATCAATGTATCGTCACGAGCTGCAGGGTTTAATTTGGTTTTGTTCGTGTATGTTTTATGACTCTCAAAGCCGTGATTCCCATCCACTTACATTATACGACTGACAGACTGCAACGGTTTGAGTAAAAATCTCCATTTGTGTTCTACTGAAGAAATAAAGTCACCTACATCTTGGATGCCCTGGGGGTAAGCAGATAAACATCAAATTTTAATTTTTGGGTGAACTATCCCTTTAATGCATATTTAAACTTTTTAAAGAAATAAAACATACCGTCAGCGTACATTAACTATAGTAAAAGTATCCACACAGTAACTTAATGGGAAAGAAAGTGATTGTATAAAATCCTGTAAAGCCACTTAGAGATCCTCTGGCATGGATATACATGTGAAACGGTGAATTATTCAGACCCTCCATCTCCCTTTGTTCCCTTTTCCGTGCGTTTGGGGGCTTTTTGGCCAGGATCCACCTACTATAATAAATAAATAATATTAATTTCCACTTAAGCCTTTAAGCTCGACTACTAAAGCCATTGATCTTCTTTCATCTACAATGTATAAAGTAAAATGTGAAGAAAAAAACACCAGGCAAATATCACTAATGGAGTTAATGCAGCAATGTTGTTGATACAGGCCACTGTGTGAGTCAATAGTGTCCTGATGTAATAGATCAAGACCCTTGCTAGATCCCAAAGTTGTGTTCATAAAATACTGATTCATGACATAGTGATCAAGTCTAAAAAATGGTTTGCATGTCTTTGCACAAAAATAATGGCCCAACCTGAGTTGTTTGTATGAAACTTCAGAATTCAAAGACGTTTTTTAACAGGAAAAAGCATCAATCAAGTTAGTCTGAGTGTCAGATGAGTTTTTCTTGTGTGTGTGTTTCAGGTTGCACGGGCTGTGGCAGAGATATTAAGAACGGTCAGGCTCTGTTGGCTCTAGAGAGTCAGTGGCATTTGGGCTGTTTTAAATGTAAGGCCTGTGCCAAAGTATTAACTGGAGAATACATCAGCAAGTAAGACACATTTATACACAAAATCCATCCATTCCATCCAAAATGATGGATGACGGTTATGCATTGGTTTGTTTTCTGTATGTGTGCAGAGATGGCGCCCCCTACTGTGAGCGCGATTATCAGGTCTTGTTTGGAGTGCAGTGTGAAGCATGTCAGCAGTTCATCACCGGGAAAGTCCTGGAGGTACAGAAACACACACACACACACACACACACACACACACAGGTCTGAACTGATAACAAACTGACACCTTGAAATACTTTTTTTGTGGCTTTTAGTTTTTTTCTTTGAGCAGTGTTGTTATTGTTAACTAAACTATTAAAAAAGTTTTTATAAGTGAAATAAAATAATATATTAAATGAAAAACTTGGCAGCTAACTGAAATAAGAAAGTTAAAGTACTAAAATTACATTACTAAAACCAAAACTGGAAATGCACATTGCAAATATAAAAATAAAAACTAATTAAATAGTGATAAGAGTTATAATATTATATAAATAATACTAAAATAACACTGGCTTTGAGGTCATCTACAGTGTAAAAAAATCAGTTTTTGAAGTTTGTAAATGAAATGCACATTGCATAAAAATAAAAACTAATTAAATAGTGATAAGAGTTATAATATTATATAAATAATACTAAAATAACACTGGCTTTGAGGTCATCTACAGTGTAAAAAAAATCAGTTTTTGAAATTGTAAATGAAACATTATTGGAGTATGTATTACAAAAAAAACACTATTTAGGTCTTTCTTCAAAATTTCATGTTTAATTCAATGTGTTACTTGCTGTTTCTTTGTGAAATTTACTAGCCATTTATGAGTGAAAATATTTTATACACCTTTTTTTTCAGTGAACATAATGCACAGATATACACACATTTAAAACAAACCGTTTCTATCAGTTTCTTTTTCTAGAAAATGCACTAAAAATATTGGTGCAATTTCTTTGTAGGGGCATTAACGGAGGCTTGAGGAAAAAATGCACCACAAAATACTAAAAAAAAAAAGAGGAGCAAAAAAATGCTCCTTCACAATTAAAGCAAATCTATTTCGGCTGTCGCAGATAAAGTCAAAAATGAAAATGAAATGCAAAGTGTCGATTGCAGCATTACATTTAGATCTGCTCTTGCTGCATCAGATGTCTTTTTATGCATTGTTGCAGTGTTGAGCATTATAACCAATCACACATGTTTCTGTTGAGTAAATGTATGCAATTCACTGAAATCAGAATGTACGTCTATTAACATCATAGAAGTTATTTTCTTAATAGAAAAGTTCATTTCTGACCCTGACCTGCACCCAATCTAATGCATTAACATTAAGCAGAAAGTAGCTTAAAATCTTAAGCAAATAATTTGATAGCCTAACATTTAGACACTTCAGCACCCTGTCAGAATATGTCCAACTTCCTGTTTGAATAGGAAATATGTCAACACAGGAAAGAAAATTGCATTCATCGAATGAGCCATCAAGTGACAACCCAACACAGTACTGAAATGTTTTGTTTAGATTGTAATCAGTTGCTTAATTCCCTGCATTAAACGTTCTGGTCAGCACAAACCATGTTTATCTATGTATTTAATGTAGTCTGGGTCATATTTCCTTATTTTTCTTATCAAGATTTTTCAGAACAGACCTGTGACCCATTTTGGAATCCTAACCCATCATTTACGAATCGCTGTTTTTAGATGAACAGTATATGTATCACTTGACCGCACAAATCATACTCCTGTATGTCCCACAACAAAACACACCGATTGCGACACAGATCTGCAGCAAAAAAGCATGTTACACACTTCTGATCTCTCGCATATAACCGTCTAGAGTTTCACAACAGGCTCACAGCAGACTCCACAGTATTGCAACAGGAAGTTTCATCCAGTTAATTGAATCTGATTGGCTGTGAGAGAGACAGTTGCCCTTTCTCGTCACACTTGTGACTGTTTTCCTGTTTGTTGTAATGGAATGTGTTTGTGCATCGCTGCTCAGCAGTGAAATGGACTTTGTATAAATCACTTTGAGTAGTTTGAGTAGTTTCACAAGATACTGCACAGGACCTGTAAGTCTCTCTCAAGACTGGTTGTTGTTTATGAATGTAAAATAAACAATATAAAATCAAATTAAATAATAATTGTAAACAATGTTAAAATGACTAGTAAATTTAACAAATAATTACAGAAGCAGCAAGTGAATTAATCATGAAATAATCCTTGATTGTGCATTAATCATTAAATTGTTAAATTAAGCATTGAATTAAATGTGACATTTTGAAGAAGAAAAACTAAAACAGTATTTTTTTTTGTAAAATGTACTCCAGTAGTCTTTGTTTTATTTACAACTTTTTAAAAAATCATTTTGAAAACAAAAGTTTTCAGATGATTTCTACTCTTTAAAGAGAGTCTGCAAACACAGAACATTTCTGTATTATATTTGATAAGCTTGTTGGTTCTGGTCATTTGAATAAAATATGTGTCGTCTCACATGCAAAACTTCAGCTTCTCTATAACAGTCTGTTTGAGTTCTCTGTAATAGCTGTTATACAGTTTAACTTTGAGTGTGTGTTTCTCCACAGGCAGGGGGCAAGCACTACCACCCCAGCTGTGCTCGCTGTAGCAGGTGTAACCAGATGTTTACTGAAGGAGAGGAGATGTACCTGCAGGGTGAGTCTCACCCTTTACAGATGCCACATATAATATACATTTATTCTGCAGAATGCTTGAACCTTTGTCATTTTACTAAAACAGAATGTCAAAAGCCTTTTTTTATGATTTAACAGGCCTGGTCAACTATTGTGACCAGCACTATTATGAAGTAATCATGTAAATTCACTGTAAATAATTGTAGAAAGTTTCATCACAGCTGTGCTTGACATGTGGCTCTGGATTTGACTGGTCCGAGTTTGCTACGGTGGACTGTACTTTTTTTAACACATGAATTTGATCTTTTTGATGTCAATATTAATAAAGTGTATTTGTTTTTTATTATTATTATTTTTAGCTATTTAATTGCTGGACTATGTTTAACCAAATAAATCAATTTCTTATAATTCAAATAATAAACTGACAGTGGTTTGGTTTACAGTGAGGTTTTTGTTGTCTAGTTTCACTGGATCATTTTAGCTGAGTACATGGATTTTGAAAAATAAATCTTGAATGCCTGGGACTAAAGAGCTATTTTTAATTTAGATGTATGTATTTTCTATTTATTTATATTGTATTGTATTGTCTTATGTATGCTATCTATAGCATGGCGGCAGACAGCGATACACTATAGCATTCAAAAGTTTGGGGTTCATTTTTTAAATGTTAAATATGCTTTTATTTGATCAAAAATACAGTTAAAACTATAATATTGTGAAGTATTATTAGAATTTAAAGTGTAAATTATTCCTGTGATGCAAAGCTGAATTTTCAGCATCATTACTCCAGTGCATTTGAAATAGAAATCTTTTGTGAAATAATACAAATTATATGTCTTTCCTGCCACTTTCGATCAATTTCATGCATCTTTGCTAAATAAAACAATTAATTTCTCACAATATAGTTTTTTTTTATTACATTTTAGCAGAATGACTGATGAAACGCCACAAAAGGGTCAGATGCTTTGTCAAAAAGAGACCCAATTGACATGACTTCATTATTTTTACCATCTGTTTTTACTGTTTATGCAGGATCAACAGTTTGGCATCCAAGCTGTAAACATTCACCCAGAGGCGAGGAGACACAGCGGGTACGGTCCTTTCCATGTCATTCAGTGTTTACATGTGTGTCCTGTGTTTTTGCTCTCTGTATGTTCTTCTCTACTAACACTTTTCTGAAAGTAAACAGATATCATTGTTAGCTGTGAGGTTGTACTTTCTCTTTCTGGCTGTTTTTAGTAGACTTGTCGCTCAAACAATCATTCCGGGAACATCACTAATAGACTAGGTGGTTCACAATCTTGTGTGATGTCCAACCAAACCCCTGTGTCTTCCTCCACAGCTATTGCCTGCGTCTCTAGTTCTCCTCAGCAAAACAGAAAGGCAGGTACTGTACTCGCTGTTAGCTGCGCCATGGCATCGCATGACCATGTGCTGCCCCCTGGAGGCGGCAGGCTGCTGTGCTCCTGACTGGCAGCTACACTGCAGTGCTCAGACCGCCTGCTCTCAGTTTTAGCCATAAACCATCATTAACATCTGGTTTGGTCCATCTCACAGACGCTAGTGCTACGGAACAGAGAGTTTAGCCCAGTTCCTCTGTTATTGTGCCAAACAGGCCTCAAATCAAGCTAAGCAGCTGTAATCACGCATGGTGCATTTCAGCATTTCAGTATGCTGAGTAATATCAGATGCACTTGCATTTTGATCCTCAAGCATTTCCTGCCATCGGAAACATGAAATTGCCATCGATGAGTCTCATTCATTGTGTGGAAGGCAAATTAATGATTTCTTTTAGGTTTGTTTCCAGGATGCTGTCATCATTTAGTCCTATCCGTCACAATATATCATTGTTTACAGGTTAAAGTTTTCTTACATTTATATTTGAATATGTTATATATATTACAACATGTATATTTTGATGCTAAGAAGGATTTATTTATGTATTTATAATATATTTTCCTCGCACTCATTTTAGATTTGTTGTGCATTCTTTGTTGTTTATGATGAGTCTTAGCCTTGATCAGCTGATTGATTTTCTGCAGCATGATTGGCCAGTAGGTCATGAATATTTTAATATGTCATAATGTATCTCTTTACAGCCATGTGCAAGCAGTCACAAAATGTGTTGACTTATAAAAGTTAGACTACATTAGGCTCATGTGATGCGCAGTAAAACAACTCTTCTGGTAAAGGCTAATGCAACATTTATCAGGTTTACTGAATAATCACGTCAGTGGTGAACATCCAGTGGTTTAGCGGAAAATGCAAATGCAGATGTTTTTATTTATTGCTTATGTTGTACATAGGTTGTTGGTTCTAAACCTGTGCTTGTTCCACAGCCGACACGCTCGTCGTCCGAGAGTATATGTTCCAGACCTGGTTCAAGCATACCTAGCTCACCGGGTCACACCATATATGTAAGTGTATCGCTTCACCATAGTGTAAATATATTTCCACAAAAATATTAAGCAGCAGAACTGTTTTCAACATTGATAAAGATTATAAATGATTCTTGCGCAGCAATCGGTGTATTAGAATGATTTCTGAAAGATCATACGACACTGAAGACTGGAGTAATGATGCTGAAAATTCAGCTTTGGATCACAGAAATAAGTTACATTTCACAGTATATTCAAATAGAAAACAGTTATTTTAAATTGTAATAATATTTCACAATATTACCGTTTTTTGATCAAATAAAAGCACTCTTGGTGACTTCTTTCAAAAAACATTGGTTACACTTTATTTTAAGGTGTCCTTGTTGCAGTGTAATTATACATGCAAGTACTGAGTAATATTAATTAACTACATGCACTTACTCTGGTTAGGGTTAGGATTAGGGTTTGGCTTAAGGTTACTTGCATGCAATTATGCATAATTAATTGTTATTATAATAGTAAGTAGTGTACATGTAACGTGTAACAAAGACACCTTAAAAAGTGTTACCAAAACATTTAAAAAAATCAAACTTGTAGACGGTAGCGTAAGTGCTTATAACTATCATACATTTTATTGAACTTTACAGTGTTATAAATTGGCTTAGCCGAGACCTCCTGTAGCTTTCTGGCTGTTAAAACTTATAAAAGTCCTCTGTCTGATAGATGGCTCTCTTTCCTGTTACTGTGAATCCTGACAGCAGTGTTAAAATATAAATGTTAACTTATTAAAGCAGTCAGTGTAATGTAAGTGGCTTTTTGATTTATTATTATTTAAAGGGGTCATATGACATTGCTAAAAAAGAACATTATTTGGTGTAATGAAATGTGCTTATGCGGTTTAAGGTTAAAAAACACATTATTTTACACATACTGTACATTATTGTTGCTCCTCTATGCCCCGCCTTTCTGAAACGCTGAGTCAGCACCGGCATTGTAGGCTATTCTCCCAGGAAACAGTCCTCGTCGTAAAATGCGTTGCTCACATCTGAATATTTGGGTTGAACTGTTCTGGAACAGTGTTGAAAATACAACTTAACCACTGATTTCTAGTTGTGTCCTCTTTTGGAAGGCCAAACAAAGTAGTTTCACTTTCACTCAGAAAAACACAGCGGCCTAGCATGAGCGAAAGCC